CTTATTTATTTTTTAGAGACAGAGTCTCATTTTGTTGCCCTCGGTAGAGTGCCATGGTGTCACAGCTCACAGCAACCTCCAACTCCTGGGCTTAGGTGCTTCTCTTGCCTCAGCCTCCTGAGCAGCTGGGACTACAGGTGCCTACCACAATGCCTGGCTATTTTTTGTTGCAGTTTGGCTGGGGCCAGGTTTGAACCTGCCACTCTCGGTATATGGGGCCAGCGCCCTACTCACTGAGCCATAGGTGCTGCCAAGATGTATTTCTTAAACCTCATGCCAGTCCTGACACCTCGGCGCCCATGCCTGCTGACGTCTTGTAAGACCTCCTAAGTGCACAGCTGTGCCTCTCAGCCTGCCTCATGTGGCCCAGCACACCCACTGACCGGTCCTAAGGGAGTGAGGCTCCCGATGACCATGTCCCAGCCCTGCATTCCCTCTTACCCCTGTGCATCCCGGCCCTTGGATAGAACACCTGTGAGGGTCTCATCAGTTACTCTGGGGACAGTGGTGTGTCCCACTGGTTCTCACTGTGATGTGACTCTGCCTTAGGAGAGGCAGTGCAGTGTAGGGTCAGGTGGCTAGCCATGTCATCTTTCCCTCAGGGGAAAAATGTCCCCACCACTTACTGTCTGTATGAACCTGTGTGCTACTTCACCTCCCTGTGCCTCAGTTTTCTTGTTAGGATAATAAGAACAATAATACTATCTCACAGGTAACCATGACATTTTAAGGAATTCATGCATAAAATGACTAAGTGCATTGTACAGCTCAATAAATGTTAATGATTTACTGAACCAGTGAGTGAAATCTCAAGTGGGAGGCCAAGATTCCCCCTTACTTTCCTGGTTCTGAGGAACAGAACCGCTGCCGCCAGCCTGTCAAGGCAGAAGGAAGGGCCTCCTCAGAGCACCGTGGCTTAGGGTCACAGAGGCTCAGTGCTGGATGGGGCTCCTGCCTCACGTGAGACCACCATACTCATGCATCACAAAAGCCCCCATCTTCCTGAGCTGCTGCCCTGTTCAGGAACTGTCATGGGGCTGCGTGGGAATTATG